AGTCTATAGTCTAGGTCTATAGTTGGTCTAAGTCTAGCCTATAGTCTAGTCTATAGTCTAGTCTAGTCTAGTCTATAGTCTAGTCTATAGTCTAGTCTATAGTCTAGTCTATAGTCTAGTCTATAGTCTAGTCTATAGTCTAGTCCTATAGTCTAGTCTATAAGTCTAGTTATAGTCTAGTCTATGTCTAGTCTATAGTCTAGTCTATAGTCTAGTCTATAGTCTAGTCTATAGTCTAGTCTATAGTCTAGTCTATAGTCTAGTCTATAGTCTAGTCTATAGTCTAGTATATAGTCTAGTCTATAGTCTAGTCTATAGTCTAGTCTATAGTCTAGTCTATAGTCTAGTCTATAGTCTAGTCTATAGTCTAGTCTATAGTCTGTCTATAGTCTAGTCTATGTCTAGTCTATAGTCTAGTCTATAGTCTAGTCTATAGTCTAGTCTATAGTCTAGTCTATAGTCTAGTCTATAGTCTAGTCTATAGTCTAGTCTATAGTCTAGTCTATAGTCTAGTCTATAGTCTAGTCTATAGTCTAGTCTATAGTCTAGTCTAGTCTAGTCTAAAGTCTAGTCTATAGTCTAGTCTAAAGTCTGGTCTATAGTCTAGTCTAAAGTCTTGTATATAGTCTAGTCTATAGTCTAGTCTATAGTTTAGTCTATAGTTTAGTCTATAGTCTAGTCTATAGTCTATCCTATAGTCTAGTCTATAGTCTATAGTCTAACTAACTAACTAACTAACTAACTAACTAACTAACTAACTACTAACTAACTAACTAACTAAACTAACTAACTAACTAACTAACTAACTAACTAACTAACTAACTAACTAACTAACTAACTAACTACTAACTAACTAACTAACTAACTAACTAACTAACTAACTAACTAACTAACTAACTAACTAACTAACTAACTAACTAACTAACTAACTAACTAACTAACTAACTAACTACTAACTAACTAACTAACTAACTAACTAACTAACTAACTAACTAACTAACTAACTAACTAACTAACTAACTAACTAACTAACTAACTAACTAACTAACTAACTAACTAACTAACTAACTAACTAACTAACTAACTAACTAACTAACTAACTAACTAACTAACTAACTAACTAACTAACTAACTAACTAACTAACTAACTAACTAACTAACTAACTAACTACTAACTAACTAACTAACTAACTAACTAACTAACTAACTAACTAACTAACTAACTAACTAACTAACTAACTAACTAACTAACTAACTAACTAACTAACTAACTAACTAACTAACTAACTAACTAACTAACTAACTAACTAACTAACTAACTACTAACTAACTAACTAACTAACTAACTAACTAACTAACGAACTAACTAACTAACTAACTAACTAACTAACTAACTAACTAACTAACTAACTACTAACTAAACTAACTAACTAACTAACTACTAACTAACTAACTAACTAACTAACTAACTAATTATCTACTACCTAACTAACTAATCCAAAAGTGTTCTTTTCTGATTTTGTTTAATAACACGGTGTTCTAAACCTGTTATTCTTCAACTAGTTTAAACCATTTAATTAATTACTTAACTCTGACTAATGCTAGAATATTAATTTAAATATTATTTATTATGCGTTTCAAACATTTTATAAACTTGAAGCATATCTTTTCGTTGCCTCCGCAAATGACGCATAAACAATATGTCCAATTTCCCTTTTGTTTGTTTATTGGTTTTTAATTTTCAAAATTATAATTTATAAGTATCTAAAATAAATTTTTTCGACTAAAAAATGTCGGTTAAGATAAGCGACACCGTTATGAAAAAAGGAGCTAAAAAAGAATATTGAAAACAAGTAACAGTTCTAAGGGTAAAATCTTTTAAATCGGATCACAAACAACAAATTGCACAATTGTCCATGATACCCAAATATGTACATTTGAATCCGCCACTGATAGTTTGATTTGAATTTTTAAACAAATAATTTTAATAAATATTACATTCCATGTTTAAATAAATTTTGTCAACCAAGGGAGTGCTGTAACTGACAACACTGATGAATAATATAAACATAGAAGGTATGAGGGCCAACAAAGTAAATGAAGACCACTTGACGAATAATAAACATGTATTGGTTTGACACTTTGTATGTGCTTAAGTGTGTATTTGAGTGTTTTTGCTTTTTTGTTTTTTTTTTTTGTAATTCACAAACATTCTTAAATTTCTTTTCAATTCATTATTATGCAGACAAGCGGCTAGAATGTTTAATAATGTTGAGACTTCTGTTTTTTTAGGCCAATTAATGTTGCAAAGAACATACTAACATACTGTTGTATATATATGTAAATAAATTAGCTAAAGTTATATTTAATTATAATTCTAAAACATAACGCCATAAACTTAAGAGAGAGAGAGAGAGAGACAGAGAGAGGGAGAGAGAGGAGAGACTAGACTATAGACTAGACTATAGACTAGACTATAGACTAGACTATAGACTAGACTATAGACTAGACTATAGACTAGACTATAGACTAGACTATAGACTAGACTATAGACTAGACTATAGACTAGACTATAGACTAGACTATAGACTAGACTATAGACTAGACTATAGACTAGACTATAGACTAGACTATAGACTAGACTATAGAATAGACTATATACTAGACTATAGACTAGACTATAGACTAGACTATAGACTAGATTATAGACTAGACTATAGACTAGACTATAGACTAGACTATAGACTAGACTATAGACTAACTATAGACTAGACTATAGACTAGACTATAGACTAGACTATAGACTAGACTATAGACTAACTATAGACTAGACTATAGACTAGACTATAGACTAGACTATAGACTAGACTATAGACTAGACTATAGACTAGACTATAGACTAGACCATAGACTAGACTATAGACTAGACTATAGACTAGACTATAGACTAGACTATAGACTAGACTATAGACTAGACTATAGACTAGACTATAGACTAGACTATAGACTAGACTATAGACTAGACTATAGACTAGACTATAGTCCAGACTGTAGTCCAGACTGTAGTCCAGACTATAGTCCAGACTGTAGTCCAGACTATAGTTCAGCCTATAGTCTTGACTATAGTCCAGACTGTAGTCCAGACTATAGTCCAGACTGTAGTCCAGACTATAGTACAGACTCTAGTTCAGCCTATAGTCTAGACTATAGTCCAGATCTAGATCTAGTCTATAATCCAGACTACAGACTAGACTGTAGTCCAGACTATAGCCAATATTATATTAGAAACTATAGACAAGATTATATAGATATCAGAGATTAGACCGTAGACTATTGTACAAATTGTATTATAAACTAATCTATAGTCTGGTCTTATTCTGGAATTGTAGACTAGACTATAGACTAGACTATAGACTAGACTATAGACTAGACTATAGACTAGACTATAGACTAGACTATAGACTGGACTATAGACTAGACTAGACTATAGACTAGACTATAGACTAGACTATAGACTAGACTATAGACTAGACTATAGACTAGACTATAGACTAGACTATAGACTAGACTATGACTAGACTATAGACTAGACTATAGACTAGACTATAGACTAGACTATAGACTAGACTATAAACTAGAACTATAGACAGACTACTAGACTAGACTATAGACTAGACTATAGACTAGACTATAGACTAGACTATAGACTAGACTATAGACTAGACTATAGACTAGACTATAGACTAGACTATAGACTAGACTATAGACTAGACTATAGACTAGACTATAGACTAGACTATAGACTAGACTATAGACTAGACTATAGACTAGACTATAGACTAGACTATAGACTAGACTATAGACTAGACTATAGACTAGACTATAGACTAGACTATAGACTAGACTATAGACTAGACTATAGACTAGACTATAGACTAGACTATAGACTAGACTATAGACTAGACTATAGACTAGACTATAGACTAGACTATAGACTAGACTATAGACTAGACTAGACTAGACTATAGACTAGACTATAGACTAGACTATAGACTAGACTATAGACTAGACTATAGACTAGACTATAGACTAGACTATAGACTATAGACTAGACTAGAGACTAGACTAGACTAGACTAGACTAGACTAGACTAGACTAGACTAGACTAGACTAGACTAGACTAGACTAGACTAGACTAGACTAGACTAGACTAGACTAGACTAGACTAGACTAGACTAGACTAGACTAGACTAGACTAGACTAGACTAGACTAGACTAGACTAGACTAGACTAGACTAGACTAGACTAGACTAGACTAGACTAGACTAGACTAGACTAGACTAGACTAGACTAGACTAGACTAGACTAGACTAGACTAGACTAGACTAGACTAGACTAGACTAGACTAGACTAGACTAGACTAGACTAGACAGACTAGACTAGACTAGACTAGACTAGACTAGAATAGACTAGACTATAGACTTGAACTAAACTAGACTAGACTATAGTCCAGACTATAATTCAGCCTATAGTCCAGACTATAATTCAGCCTATAGTCCAGACTACAATTCAGCCTATAGTCCAGACTATAGTAACAGAATCTAGATCTAGTCTATATCCAGACTACAGACTAGACTGTAGTCCAAACTATAGTCCAGATCTAGATCTAGTCTATAATCCAGACTACAGACTAGACTGTAGTCCAGACTATAGACAATATTATATTAGAAACGATAGACAAGATTATATTAGAGACTAGACCGTTGATTATAGTACAAACTGTAGTATAGATTAATCTATAGTCTGGACTATAGTGTAATCTATAGTCTGTTCTTAGTCTGGAACTATAGTCTTGACTACTCCAGAGTGGCCTGGTATGGGTACCATGATGTAAACTATAGTGTTGCATGGACTACGGATAGCACAGACTATAGTCCTGACTGGGGTTCAGACTAGATTCCGAGAATTTTCTTACAATTACAACTCTTTCAATCACTTACCTTTTCAGTGTTCGTTTGAAAGTAATAAACCAAAACAAACATCCAGATAACACTAACAAATACAATCAATTTGACGTTGCGACGCATGATGATGATGATGATAACGATGATGTTAATGAATTTTGTTGCTGCTGATGTTGTTTACAATGATACTCTCTGCTGCTACTCTGCTAAAGACACGATGAAATTGTGTTGCTGATAAATATTTTTCGTTGGAATTTTATTTAGTTGGAATATAATTTTTACTGGCAGTTAAATATTTTTTTTTTCTTTTAAATTTTTATTAACACTTTAATTTAGATTTTCTAAAGAAATGAAAAAAATAGAGAGAGAGAAAGAAAAATTTGTATTAAAATTTTTGTGGCTTATATGTAATGCAATAAAAAAATAGTTTAATTTACTTAAATTTAGTTTAAAAATTTAACCAGAAACTAGTTTTTAAAAATAAATGTTTAAAGAAAATCACTGGGCTATAACTGATGAAACTCCGGGATCTGGGGTCTTCAGAAAATTATTTTCAAAGTGAGGGGTATAATTATTGGGTCATTTATTGCAATTCTTCACTTTAATAGAAATACTTTTCTAAGATTTCATCTATAAACCGAATATTTAAAACATTAACCTTTGACCTTTAGAATAAAAATGTCAATAGGAACTTGCAAAGGTTAACTTTATTGTATTTTGTTAAAAGTTTAGGTTTATTTTGTTTAACTTAAAACACTTTTTCATACTTTTTATGATTAAGTTTTCAACAAAAAAACCTCTTCATAAACTAAACTAAACTAAATTATCTCTTTTGTCTTCAATTCACTAGAGATTTTTCTTTATAATAAAAATAAAGAAAAAAATTGTATATGATTGATTGATTAAATTTTCTCTAAACACTATAAAGAAGAATAATATAAAGCAATAGAAAAAAATGAAACTTTAAAACATTGTTTATGAAGAACAAAGTATGCAATATATTTTCAACAAATAATATCCTAAGAGTATGCTATACTTTATAATACAAATTGAAATATAAATAAGAATTTAAATTTCAATAAAATATAAAATGATTTATTAAGGATAAAAAATGAGAGAAAAAAAAAACACAAAAAATCCTTGAATAAATACATTAAATTGTACGTGTGAAGATAACCAAAATAATATAGAAAAAAAAATTTTATTAAAAAGAAAAATGTTAAAGTTTTCCAAAATAAAGTTAAATTTTATAAATCGTAAGACTTCCAAACAAAATTTTACAAACTTTCTTAAAACCTTAGAATTAAAAATTTTGTTTATTAAACCATTAACATTACTTTATAGTTCTTCGTCCTTCAGAAGTTTGCTTTGAATACCGTTATTTCTAAGTAATAACTTCTTAGACTTCATATTACTATACATTTTCAATTACCCAGCACTTAAGCTGTTCATTAATTTACTTTTCTTTTCATTTATATAAAATCACTTTATTCCAGTTTTACTTGAAGCCCAAATGTATGCAATATTTTGTATTAATTTCACTTTCCCAAAAGTATTGAACAAATTAAATTTTATAAAGAGATGAAAGTAATTTGCTTTTCATAAGCAATTTGTCAGTTCATAATTTTCAAAAATAATATTTTCAAGTACTTGTCAGCTAGCTGTTGTCATTAAGTGGGCAGACAAAGTTTAATCTTTTTATGAGCAGTATAAGGAAATCATTTTAAGCTGACAGTTGATAGCCTATGCTTTATATTTTTGAGAAAATTGCTTAAAGATTAGACTGACGCATAGCTGTTAAGATAAGTGGTCAATAATTTTGTGTATAACATATACTATCGTCGCAATAAGTTTGTTATTCATTTTGCTATATCGCACAGACAATAGGCCAAGCTATAACTAGAACTGTAGACCAGACTATAGACCTTAAACAGAACTATAAACCATCGTCAAGACCATAGGACAGTCAATAACAAGACTAGACTAAAAACAGTATAGCCTAAAGTTTAGTCTATAATCTAGTCTATTCTATAGTCTAGTCTATAGTATAGTCTATAGTCTGGACTAGAGTCAAGTCTATAATCTAATCCATACTTTATTCTATAGTCGAGTCTATATATATAATAGAGTCTATAGCTTAGTCTATAGCTTAGTCTATAGTCAGTCTATTAGTCTATAGTCTAGTCTATAGTCTAGTCTATAGTCTAGTCTATAGTCTAGTCTATAGTCTAGTCTATAGTCTAGTCTATAGTCTAGTCTATAGTCTAGTCTATAGTCTATAGTCTAGTCTATAGTCTAGTCTATAGTCTAGTCTATAGTCTAGTCTATAGTCTAGTCTATAGTCTAGTCTATAGTCTAGTCTATAGTCTAGTCTATAGTCTAGTCTATAGTCTAGTCTATAGTCTAGTCTATAGTCTAGTCTATAGTCTAGTCTATAGTCTAGTCTATAGTCTAGTCTATAGTCTAGTCTATAGTCTAGTCTATAGTCTAGTCTATAGTCTAGTCTATAGTCTAGTCTATAGTCTAGTCTATAGTCTAGTCTATAGTCTAGTCTATAGTCTAGTCTATAGTCTAGTCTATAGTCTAGTCTATAGTCTAGTCTATAGTCTAGTCTATAGTCTAGTCTATAGTCTAGTCTATAGTCTAGTCTATAGTCTAGTCTATAGTCTAGTCTATAGTCTAGTCTATAGTCTAGTCTATAGTCTAGTCTATAGTCTAGTCTATAGTCTAGTCTATAGTCTAGTCTATAGTCTAGTCTATAGTCTAGTCTATAGTCTAGTCTATAGTCTAGTCTATAGTCTAGTCTATAGTCTAGTCTATAGTCTAGTCTATAGTCTAGTCTATAGTCTAGTCTATAGTCTAGTTTATAGTCTAGTCTATAGTCTAGTCTATAGTCTAGTCTATAGTCTAGTCTATAGTCTAGTCTATAGTCTAGTCTATATAGTCTAGTCTAGTCTATAGTCTAGTCTAGTCTAGTCTATCTATAGTCTAGTCTATAGTCTAGTCTATAGTCTAGTCTATAGTCTAGTCTATAGTCTAGTCTATAGTCTAGTCTATAGTCTAGTCTATAGTCTAGTCTATAGTCTAGTCTATAGTCTAGTCTATAGTCTAGTCTATAGTCTAGTCTATAGTCTAGTCTATAGTCTAGTCTATAGTCTAGTCTATAGTCTAGTCTATAGTCTAGTCTATAGTCTAGTCTATAGTCTAGTCTATAGTCTAGTCTATAGTCTAGTCTAGTCTATAGTCTAGTCTAGTCTAGTCTATAGTCTAGTCTAGTCTAGTCTATAGTCTAGTCTATAGTCTAGTCTATAGTCTAGTCTATAGTCTAGTCTATAGTCTAGTCTATAGTCTAGTCTATAGTCTAGTCTATAGTCTAGTCTATAGTCTAGTCTATAGTCTAGTCTATAGTTCTAGTCTATAGTCTAGTCTATAGTCTAAGTCTATAGTCTAGTCTATAGTCCTAGTCTATAGTCTAGTCTATAGTCTAGTCTATAGTCTAGTCTATAGTCTAGTCTATAGTCTAGTCTATAGTCTAGTCTATAGTCTAGTCTATAGTCTAGTCTATAGTCTAGTCTATAGTCTAGTCTATAGTCTAGTCTATAGTCTAGTCTATAGTCTAGTCTATAGTCTAGTCTATAGTCTAGTCTATAGTCTAGTCTATAGTCTAGTCTATAGTCTAGTCTATAGTCTAGTCTATAGTCTAGTCTATAGTCTAGTCTATAAGTCGTAGTCTATAGTCTAGTCTATAGTCTAAGTCTATTCTAGTCTATAGTCTAGTCTATAGTCTAGTCTATAGTCTAGTCTATAGTCTAGTCTATAGTCTAGTCTATAGTCTAGTCTATAGTCTAGTCTATAGTCTAGTCTATAGTCTAGTCTATAGTCTAGTCTATAGTCTAGTCTATAGTCTAGTCTATAGTCTAGTCTATAGTCTAGTCTATAGTCTAGTCTATAGTCTAGTCTATAGTCTAGTCTATAGTCTAGTCTATAGTCTAGTCTATAGTCTAGTCTATAGTCTAGTCTATAGTCTAGTCTATAGTCTAGTCTATAGTCTAGTCTATAGTCTAGTCTATAGTCTAGTCTAGTCTAGTCTATAGTCTAGTCTATAGTCTAGTCTATAGTCTAGTCTATAGTCTAGTCTATAGTCTAGTCTATAGTCTAGTCTATAGTCTAGTCTATAGTCTAGTCTAAGTCTAGTCTATAGTCTAGTCTATAGTCTAGTCTATAGTCTAGTCTATAGTCTAGTCTATAGTCTAGTCTATAGTCTAGTCTATAGTCTAGTCTATAGTCTAGTCTATAGTCTAGTCTATAGTCTAGTCTATAGTCTAGTCTATAGTCTAGTCTATAGTCTAGTCTATAGTCTAGTCTATAGTCTAGTCTATAGTCTAGTCTATAGTCTAGTCTATAGTCTAGTCTATAGTCTAGTCTATAGTCTAGTCTATAGTCTAGTCTATAGTCTAGTCTATAGTCTAGTCTATAGTCTAGTCTATAGTCTAGTCTATAGTCTAGTCTATAGTCTAGTCTATAGTCTAGTCTATAGTCTAGTCTATAGTCTAGTCTATAGTCTAGTCTATAGTCTAGTCTATAGTCTAGTCTATAGTCTAGTCTATATCTAGTCTATAGTCTAGTCTATAGTCTAGTCTATAGTCTAGTCTATAGTCTAGTCTATAGTCTAGTCTATAGTCTAGTCTATAGTCTAGTCTATAGTCTAGTCTATAGTCTAGTCTATAGTCTAGTCTATAGTCTAGTCTATAGTCTAGTCTATAGTCTAGTCTATAGTCTAGTCTATAGTCTAGTCTATATAGTCAGTCTATTCCTAGTCTATAGTTATCTAGTAGTCTATAGTCTAGTCTAGTATCTAGGTCTATAGTCTAGTCTATAGTCTAGTCTATAGTCTAGTTCTATAGGTCCTAGTCTATAGTCTAGTCTATAGTCTAGTCTATAGTCTAGTCTATAGTCTAGTCTATAGTCTAGTCTATAGTCTAGTCTATAGTCTAGTCTATACGTCTAGTCTATAAGCCTAGTCTATAGTCTAGTCTTTATAGTCTAGTCTATAGTCTAGTCTATAGTCTAGTCTATAGTCTAGTCTATAGTCTAGTCTATAGTCTAGTCTATAGTCTAGTCGATAGTCTAGTCTATAGTCTAGTCTATAGTCTAGTCTATAGTCTAAGTCTCTAGTCTGTCTATAGTCTAGTCTATAGTCTAGTCTATAGTCTAGTCTATAGTCTAGTCTATAGTCTAGTCTATAGTCTAGTCTATAGTCTAGTCTATAGTCTAGTCTATAGTCTAGTCTATAGTCTAGTCTATAGTCTAGTCTATAGTTCTAGTCTATGTCTAGTCTATA